TTTATTTATTTTGGTAAATTTATTTTTTGTTATTACATTTATCCAGAAAGAGTCAAAAGTTTTCTGATCCTAGCATAAACTGTGCCCATCATTATTATTTTATTTTGGTTTCCTTTCTAATATATGAGAAAATTCAGGGGAAGAGAAATAGGGGAAAAAACCAGTAAAATAATTAAATGGTTAAAGCCATATTTTAAACTCACTGCAGAAAATCTAATTTTTAAATTGCTCTGAGAATTTCTGACAGTACACTTATCCTTTTGCCATTAGTGAACTGATTCAAATATGGGCTCAGGTCGATAATGATAAAAATAATTACTAGTTGACAGAGATTCAGAGTCATAATTGAGATGAGTAGATGATTTTGCCCATGATCCATTAGAGGTAAAAATCCTAGGGTGCAATTTAGGAAAAGCATATTCTTCCACCCTCTTTTTCTAATACCGTCCTATTTTAATCCATAAATTAAATTTCAATTTCTTCCTCTGCTACAGATACTCGTATGCATTAACTGCTAAGACTGATACAGTGGCATGGATCATAAAGGAGGATAAACAGAATGTTGAGATAAACGTTGCTCAGGGCCATATTTGCAGAAAAATTCCAACCTTGCTAAATATTGTGAAAATTGTCATAAAAGGCAGAGATGTGTGAGGACGGAGGGGAACTGATCAAAACACCCACTGCCTCTCTCTTGGCAAGTGCAGGATTTTTCTCTAGTCCTTTGGCCGGTCTAAATTCTAATATCTTCTGCTTGTTTTGGTGCTGTAGATTAATCAGATCCAGATTCTTGTGTCCTTAATCATGTTAAATAATAAATTGAAATACTAATTAAATGGGCAAGTCTTTCATGGGTTGTTAGCTGCTTTTAACACAATTTAGCAGCTGGAAGCAGAGAGGGGAGCCAGGGCCACGTGTCTAGCCAGTCCTGCTCAGACCACTTGTAGTCCATAAACCACAATTGAGGAAACACTAATCTAGGCTGCTTTGGCTTTGGCTTTGGCTTTGGCTCCCTTAATGTTCACAAGTGTGATTTTTTGAGCACAAGTGGCCTATACAGGTTTTGCAGACAGTCATATAGGGGAAAATATTCTGGGCCTGATTCTTGTAGAATCACAGAAATGTAGGGCTAGAAGGGACCTTGAGAGGCCATCTAATCCAGTCCCAAATGCTGAGGCAGAACCAAGTAAATCTGACAGGTATTTCTTCAACCTGTTCGTAAAATCCTCCAGTCATGGGGATTCCACAACTTCCCTTGGAAGCCTATTGTAGTGCTTAACTACCCTTCTAGTTAGAAAGTGTTTCCTGATACATAACCTAAATCTTCCTTGATGAGATTAAACCCATTACTTCTTGTCCAACCTTCAGTGGACATGGAGAACAATGGATCACAGTTGTCTTTATAACAGACCTTAACATAGTTGAAGACTGATATCAAGTCTTCTTTTCTCAAGACTAAATCTGCCCAGTCTTTTTAACCTTTCCTCATAGGTCAGGTTTTCTAAACCTTTTATCATTTTTGTTGCTCTCCTCTGGACTCTCTCCAGTTGCTCCACATCTTTCATACAGTGTGGCTCCCAGAATGGGACAGAGTACTCTAGCTGAGTATTTATACAATGTCTTTCTGGCAGTCTAAAGAGGCCTTAAAGTGAGACTAAATTAGAATTAAGGAGACTGCCTTCGGGTAAATACGAATCAAGCCCTTTTGTGGCTGCAGTGTTGTGAAGTGTGGAGCAGCAGAGGAATCCTAATGTGGTTTTCAGTTGGTGTTTAATTATGGTCATAGCGCATTGGCTCTGGTCAGAGGGAAAGGAATGGATTTGGCATAGGTGACATAGGTCAGTAATAAGCATTAGTAACACTGTCTCCTGGCATGTCTGCAATAACCTGCAAGTGGCTCTGCTCAAGTCAGCCCTTGCTGCAAGTTATTCTGCTGCATCCAACCAGAGCCAATCCAATCTTTTTATTTACAATTCTCTTGTCTACTGCTGGGAAATGCGTTGGTAACACAATTAAACTGAAGCCAGAGCCAGGTATCAATGAATTCCCCTGCCTGGAAGGTTTAACAGTAGCCAGAGGGGCGAATGGACACCATTGCTTTGAGTGCAAACACTTTTAGATCCCAAACCTGCAAACGTTTGTGTGCATGTGTAATCCTTCTGCCGGGTGGAGTTGGCAGCAACATGGCTGGGTTCAATGGCCAGAGTTCCTCTTAACAATACAAAACAGAACTGGCTGGATCCACCAGCTAATAATGGGGGAAAACTTAACACCACCTCTGGGTGTGTCTAGAAGGCAATATGTCCCCTCGCTCAAGCACTGAGTCTGTGTATAACAAAAGAGAACTTTTATTAGGAGGGAAAGGGAACCTGGCATTAATTTGGGAAAACACCACAACCACTTACCAAAGCATGTGACCATAAGCAAACCCAACCCCAGCCTGTACTGGGCATTGTCCTTTGCCTCAGTCCAACGAATGAATGCTCCTTTAAGACATCACTCCCCTCTCTCTTGCAGCACCCCACTCACAGTTGGTGGTCCTTGGTTAGTGAAGACCCAGAGGTCAGGAAGAGAGCTCATGGGGGTTCACCTCCCTCTCCTGGGATCAAGCCAGGCCTCTGTTGCTGCCTCTGCAACTGGCTCACTGGCTGCTGTCCCTCTGCAGCTGCTGACTACTGCTGCCATTGCTTCCCTGCCACTGCTGGCCACTGTCCCTCTGCTGCCACTAGCCACTGCTGCTTGCTCCGCCCACAACAGCACTTTCTGAGGTTCTACCATTTAACCCAGCTCTCAGTGATTTCAGCAAGTTGTGGGGAACCTCACGGCTAGTACAGTCTCTATGCTGTCTTTCACTGTCCCCGAACAAGGCCTAAGGCTCAGCAGTGATGTCATCTATGGGAATCACCAACCAGAAATGTGGACTTTCAACTGAGTCCAATCAGCTCTATTGTTAACTTCTGGAAAGATGCCAATCAAATAGCATCAAGGAGTCCTTGGGCAAAGTCTGTGCTACCAGATAAGAACACCTCTCCCCCTCGCCCCCAACAACTATCCCCTTCACTGGGATTTGGCATCCTTACCCTCTGGTTAGCAAGTGAGGTTCAGTTTAGGGTCACCCCCTAAATCAGGGCTTGCTTCTTTGTCCATATCAGCTATCTTTTGCTTTTCCTACAATCAAAGATCTGCCACTTTTTGTTCATGTTCAAACTATAGCTTGTTTTTCACTAATAGCATTCTCACTGCTTCTGCTTCAGCAGCTGCAACTGGGGCAGGTGAGGGCAGAACCCCTGCTCCCTGGTCATTGTCCATAAGCAAATCTCTCATTACCTGATCTGAGCTATCTCCTTTAAGGGTTATTTTTCGTTCTTTACATAATTATTTAAACTTCTTTGAGTCACAATCCACATATGATTGTGATTCACTCATTGTCAGTCCTCTTCAATCACCAAATCTCTCAATATCAAATTGCGAGTGTCTGATTAGCATGGGGTTCTGACCCAAAGCTTAATTGATTTGGTTCTATGGATCCTGCCAACTACACCAAATGTCACCATGCTTCAGTGGGTCACAGCTGAGGATACCAGATTTGGGACAAACCGCTGAGAAATAGGGCAGACTCACCCCAAACTGGTGGTTATTCTATTATTAGATATACCAAGCCAGAAACAAAAGTAAACTTCTGTCTGACCACACTGGTTAACAAGAAGTCCAAACGTCAGTCTCCTTAGGCTTCCCAGCCCTTGTTTCACCACCCAGACACTAGACTTTATGATCGGTGGCTACTTAAAATCAATTTAATCAAACAAAGGGTTCTTCAGATCTCAAAAGATTAGCCATACACTCAGGTCAATATATAACCCAGATCTTAGCCAATAATCATGCTGATGCCAATCCTTTAATATCTAATATCTAAAGGTTTACTTGTAAGAGAAAAGAATAAGGAGAGATTTTGAAACAGTCAAAGAAATCACATACATATAATCATTGCAAAGTTCTTGGAGCAAGTTTGTAGCAATGATGTTACAGACTCCTGGCTTGTAAAGTCTCTGATAACTTCTAAAAGATTGGAAGGTCCTCAGTCCATTGGTTGTAATGTTCCTGTTAGTGTAAGTCCATAGTCCAGAAATCAGAGCAGGAAAGAGGGAACTTTTCCATTGATACCTTACATGACATGACATACTTTGTACAAGATTTGTTGCGATTGTATAACAATGGCAATATTAATGACATAACTGGTCATTTTTCAATCATACAGTGTCACATATGGATAATAAAGAATGGCTTATTAGATTAGGATAAATACTGGATGATTGGAGGAGTAAGTGACTAGACTGGTAATGATTCCAGGCCACCCATCTCAGATGATGAGGATGACAATTTCCATTTCTGTTGCACATAGGAGCCCTAGATATGGAGCAGGACCCAACAAGAACGGTAGGGGAATGAAAAAAACAATCCTATAGAAAGATATTGGGACTCGGATGTAAAGACTAGGATTGTTTACCTTAGAAAGGAGACAAATAAGAGGCATCCTGATAAAAGTATATAAAATAATGAATGGCCTAGAGAAGGGACATTGGGAGCTTGTGCTCTCCATGTCTTCCAAAAAAAGAACAAGGTAAAAGGTGGCAAATTAAAATTGATATAAGGAAATACTTCTACACAATGCATATGTCAGGATTCCCTCCTCACTCTGAACTCTAGGGTACAGATGTGGAGACCCACATAAAATACCCCCTAAGCTTACTTCTACCAGCTTAGGTTAAAACTTCCCCAAGGCACAAATTCTTTGCCCTTGGAGGGTACGCTGCCACCACCAAGTGATTTAACAAAGAATCAGGGAAAGGACCACTTGGAGTTCCTATTCCTCCAAAATATCCCCCCAAGCCCTTATACCCCCTTTCTTGGGGAGGCTTGAGAATAATATCCTAACCAATTGGTTACAAAGTGATCACAGACCCAAACCCCTGGGTCTTAGGACTATAGAGAAATCAGTCAGGTTCTTAAAAGAAGGATTTTATTTAAAAAAAAAGGTAAAAATCACCTCTGTAAAATCAGGATGGAAAATAACTTTACAGGGTAACAGAAGATTCAAAAATACAGCAGAACTTCCCCTAGGCTTAGTTTCAAAGTTACAAAAAACAGGAATAAACCTCCCTCCAGCAAAGGATAAATTCACAAGCAAAACAAAAGATAATCTAACATGCCTTGCCTGCCTTTTACTTACAATTTTTTTAATATGAAAGACTTTTAGGATGGTTTATAGGAGAAGGAGTTTTTTGACCTGATGCTTCTCTGCTTCCCAAGAGAACACACACAACAAAGCCTTCTCCCACCCCCACCCAAGATTTGAAAATATCTTCTTTCCCCATTGGTCCTTTTGGTCAGGTGCCAACCAGTTTATTTGAGCTTCTTAACCCCTTACAGGTAAGGAGGAATTCTAGGTTACCCTTAGCTGTATGGTTATGACTGCATAGACTGGGGAACTCATTGCCACAGGTGGTTGTTGAGGCCAAGAATTTAGCAAGATTCACAGAGGGACTGGTCATTTGTAAGGTAACAAGAATAGTCCAAGTTATACTGGTTAGTGCTATGAAAAATTTGGAAGGGATATTAAATCTCATGCACCAGGGTTTAAGACAGTCTCTCAGTATTATGGATTAAGATGAGATCTCCATGGGAGCCGATTATCCCATTTCTGCCTATTGTGGGTTTCTTGCATCTTCCTCTGAAGTATCCAGCACTGGCCACTGTTTGAGACAGGATATGGACTAGATGGACCTTTGGTCTGATCCAGTGTGATCATTCTTGTGTACCTCTGACTAATGTGCGGGAATGAATGGGGTAAATCAGAGTGAGTCAAGGCAGTGAGTGAAAGGTGAGGTGGTGTAGTGTGGGGCTGGAGAGTGTGTGAGAAACTTATGGGAAGTGTGCTTTTGTGATGTGGGGAGTATGTATGTTTGTGTGTGATAGTTGAGGTGCGAGCATGCATCCACACATAAGAAAATCCAGAATGTGTATGTGCGTGTGTAATGAATGAGAGTGACACAGGTGGTGTGAGAGACACAGAGAGATAGAGAGTCCATTCAGAGCTGTGCAGTAGGTGAGGGGTTCCTGGACTTGAGGAAGGGAGACACCTGTATTTATGGTGGAGGTGGGGGGCGGAGAGGATAACAGAGTTTTGCTTGGGCTAATTTGTTTTCTTGCCAACTTTTCAATGCTGAGGAAATAGCAATACAACTGTAGGAGCTTCCTGCAAACTGACAAATTCCAACAGACATTAATATAACTGTTCCTGGGAGTATCTTCAATTGACTCTCTCAGTCTTAAATGTACATTCCTATAATCCAGTCTCTTTGGGGAAAAGTGGGTATTTATTGTATTTATTTATTTAGAGATTTTTAGAGTTTAATTCTGACAACTGAATCCCCTCCTTATACCTTAGGACTCACCCACACTGTGGGGAGTGCAATGCTTGGGTTATACTGTTTTCTACTTACCTGTACCTTCAAGGGCAGACCAGACCAGAGGGGTACATGTGTAGTATAGTGCTTAGTATGATGGCAACATGGTCTCAGTTGCGGTCTCTAAGTGCTGCTGTAATACAGAATGCTGGCTCTTTAACTTTCTGAGTGTCAGATCCTCACAAGGCAAAGACAGTCAAACCAGGTACAGCATTTCTCTTAAGACACTGGGGCCCAGATCCTCAGCTGGTGTAAACTGGGAGAGCTCTGTTGAAGTCAGCTGAGGAGTTGGCCCTTTATTGTCTTCTGTTTGATACTGCTAAATAGGATCTCATTCACTGCACATGACAGCTTGTCTGTTGGGACAGGCAAATGAATTGTATACAACATACAATACAATTCTAAATGCATAAAATCTTTTCCAGAAAGAAAGCCGATCTAATGTTATGGCTCCCCAGAATACTTCCTTCAGAGAAATAATTGATAGCTGTGGTTATTTCTAAAATAATCTGAATAAGTATTCCCAGAATGACAGGCAATCGTTACTTTATTTTATTAGTATTTGACATTAGGGTCAAGTTGTTATAAAAACAAATTGCTGAGCTAATGCAGCTGTTGAAAGCTGGATACTGTGGTTTACAGAATGATTTGGCAGAACCTAATAAACTGAGCTTCTGTTTGCTGATCTACTTAGCTGCCGAAAATGTAAATTACAGGATCTGTGGTATGTAAATAAGTGTAGAGAACCTGAAAAATTGTATAGTGGAGAGGAAAAAGGAATCCAGGGAAGAAATGTCGTCCAGGCATAGGAATGGGAGACAATGGGAAGGACATCAGAGGGCACTGTAGGAAAAAGCAGTGGGACATGGGAAAGCTTTTAGGAGCCAAACATTTAGGGATCAGTTCTGCAACCCTTCCTCACCCTTGAATAGCATACAAATGAACCCTTCTAATCATGTGATCAAGTGCCACTCGAGGTGAATAAGGTTGTAGATTTTGCCCTTTTAACTGGTGGAAATTAAGAGATTTCATGGAAAAAATCAATAGTTCTAGAGATAATTTGGGCCAAATTCAACCATCAAATAAAATCTGAGCAACCCCATCAGTTTCAAGGAGGTTACCACCAATGGGACTAGAGAGGAGCTCTTTTTGTTAATACACACGCACAGATATGATCAGAAAAGAGCCATACAAATGGAATGCGTCTCCCTAGAATTTTTTTTTAATAAATTGCTTATGACCTTTGTTGTAATTATCACACATGTCTATGGTGCACTTCACCATAGCATCTTGGAACCCAGCATGGATCTTGCATTCTTCAGATCTAGAAGGAAGTAGTGGAGCAGCATGGAGGCAGGAGGTGCTCATGCAAATGTCTCCTGCCTCTGCGCATCTGGGGAGCAAAAGAGGTTCCTATTCTGCTGATCCCCAGAAGCCACGTGGTTGCCTCACCCATTCCAAATTCCAAGAGGAATCAAATGCTTCTGCAGATGCTATTGATATTTTCCTGTCCTGTGGGCTTCTCTGTGGGAGGGGGTAGTTACCCTTTGATTACATTACCGTACAGTGCAATATTTTACTTACAATTATATTTGATAGTCATCAGCGTGAGTCAGTCTACTATGATTAGAGGGTTTGATTCTCTGTTAGGCCAGGATCCACTCAGCACTGCAGAGCTATTCTAAACTCTGCAGGCAGGTTATTGTCCCCAACGGACCATATGTTAGAGCAATAGCTGGTGTGCAGCATGCTCTGGCCACACCCTCCCATGCCCCTGTTGTGATCATTTCTATGATCAAAATTCAAGATTCAAAAGTGTTAATGTAACCCTGTCACTATACAACACTAAACAGTTAAACATGACTCAGGGTTTCAAGTACAGAGACCTTGTCCTGCTTAGTGCCATGGCAAACACATAATTAAACATCATTTAATTAATTAATCATTTATTAAAGATACAAAAAAGAAGGAAAAACAGTTAAAGTACTCGAAATATGAAGTATTAAGTAAAGGCTTTTGTTTTAACAATACAATTTTGTTTCCCTTTCCCTTTAGCTGTAAAGAGTTTCTATAAGGAAAACACCATTGTTTGGGGGGGAAAAGAGGAAAAGTAAGCTGAGATGGACTGGAGCTGTTGTTATTGCTGTTGTTGAAGTCCAGTCCACTTTTAATAAGACAAAACAAGACAAACACACACAACAGGAAAAAAGAGAAGAATAACAAAGAGAGAAACACAAGATTCCATCTCCAGTGCTGACTCTCACTTGCAACCTCACTGCTGGAAAAACATTGACATAGCATATGGTCTTAGCCACTTTGAAACCTGGAGAAGTCATACTTGCGTAAGGCTGTTTAGGGCATTGCTTTTAATTGCCTTATTTGTCACAGGCTCACAGCAGTGTAGCAAAATATACAGACCTGGCTGGCTAAGACAGGCTCTTATTAGACAGAAGGCAAAAGGAGAGGGAAAAAAGAGGGAAGAAATAAAGTGGGGAAGGAAAAGGCCATATACAGGGGTGTGTGACAGCCACATGGCATTTGGGATTTAGCAGAAACCAATGGAGATGATGATGTTGTCTGGGTCCTTTTCTCTGGCCCAGTCCGGTCAGGATCAGGTCAACAAAGGCCCAATGATGCCAAGGTGGATCTCTGGGACCCAGAAGATGGTGGGAATAGCAGCCATTATGGTAATGCTTGCTCCTTCCCAGACCATCTGTCTCCACCAACCAGCCAGTTAATTTGGTTCGCCTCCTCCGAAGTTTTTTTTAGGATCTCAAAAGGGAGTGATGGTTGGAATAGCCCATGGTCTCATTTTGCTGAGCAAATAGGTTTAATTTCTGACACACCAATTTTTGTCCATTGATTTAAGAACATAAGAACGGCCATACTGGGTCAGACCAATGGTCCATCTAGCTCAGTATCCTGTCTGCCAACCGTGGCCAATGCCAGGTGCCCCAGAGGGAATGAACAGAACAGGTAATCGTCAAGTGATCCATCCTCTGTCACCCATTCCCAGCTTCTGGCAAGCAGAGGCTAGGGACACTCAGAGCATGGGGTCGAGTCCCACGCCTCTTGTTTACCAGACATGACCTTAGTACAGTCCTTAAGTTATATCACAAGACTTTTTGTTTGGATTAACACAACCTTTTGCCTCCCTTTTCCCATCAACTTTTTTTTATAGATGACTGGAACATTTTATAAACTTTTCTCCACTTTCCGACAGTTGAGCTCACATTTGGGGTAGCCCTACGAGGCCCCAGTTATTACAAAACCCCTCCCTCCCCCACCATCTCCTACACTGGGCAAGGAGAGGGGAAGAAGCTTTACATCACCAGAGATCTCCCATACACCTGGGGAATTCTCACCTGGCTAGATATGGCCTCTTCAAGGCTCTTGCATCACCAGCGTGGCACAGAGGGTCCAGAGCAGGAGAGAGAATCTGCCCCATAATGTTTATCCATTAACCTCTCTGCAGTCATAGGACAAAAAGAGGGGGTGAATGGGTTACAGATCGCTGTAATAAGCCATAAATCCAGTATCTCTGTTCATTCTATGATTTTTAGTGTCTAGCAAAGTTATGGATTGAAGTGCCTAGGCTCATCTTTTGAAAGTGTTGTGCAGGTTCCCTTTGAGGATGAGGACTGATAGGTCAGATATCACTTCATCTACCTTTTCTCTCTAATATCCTGGCTCCAATGCAACTACAGCTACACGGCATCTCAGTCACTGTAGAGACATTTAGGAAGTTACAGTCCTTGCCCCATAGACGTTACAAGCTGAAAGAAAAAAAGGGAGGGAATAGGATGCCACATGTGAACAACATGATCAGGGTGCTCACAAAATCATTAGTCCAATGTTGTTTTAGTTTCTTTTATTTTAAGGTTGGAAATACGTTCTAACTGCAACTACCTACCCATAATTAATTAGTCAGTCATATAACTGACTGTAACTATCCATATCATATAACTGACTGTAACTAACCATTTTTATACTGCCTCAAATCATAGAATCATAGAATATCAGGGTTGGAAGGGACCTCAAGAGGTCATCTAGTCCAACCCCCTGCTCAAAGCAGGACCAATCCCCAACTAAATGTCCAAGGGTTCACTCAGAAAGATGCAGATGAATGTATCATTTAATTTTGAGCAGATGATTAGCTTGTCTTCCTTTTATTACAGCATCGGGGAAGTTATTTTAGAACAGTGCTCTCAATCTTTCCAGGCTACTGGACCCCCTTTCAGGAGGCTGATTTGTCTTGCGTACCCCCACTTAAAATCCACTTGCTTACAAAGTCAGACATAAAAATGCAAAAGTGTCACAGCACACTCTAACTGAAAAATTGCTGACTTTCTCATTTTTACTATATAATTATAAAATAAATCAATTGGAATATAAATATTGTACTTATATTTCAGTGTATAATATAGAGAGCAGTATAAACAAGTCATTGTATGAAATTTTAGTTTGTACTGACTTTGCTAGTGCTTTTTATGTAGCCTGTTGTAAAACTAGGCAAATATCTAAATGAGTTGATGTACCCACTGGAAGACCTCTGTGTACCCCTAGGGGTATGCATACTCCTGGTTGAGAACCACTGTTTTAGAAGTTATACATTATTAGCTTCTAAGGCCAGAAGGGACCATTATGATCAGCTAGGCTGATCTCCTGCAGAAAACAGGCCATAGAACTGTTTTGATAATTGGGCTGACAAATTAACCCTAACTGTAAGATCAACTGTAAAAAGTATGTAAAAGTTCATAAAATGTCACAATAACATAGAATAATAAATGTTAATGGGAAAAGGTATGTAAAGCAGACAGAAAAAGTGAATTAGTCTAAACAAAAAGGCCTGCTGATATAACTAAAGGACTGTGATTTAGTTGGGGCTTGGCCCTGCTTTGAGCAAGGGGTTGGACTAGATGATCTCCTGAGGTCCCTTCCAACCCTGATATTCTATTCTATTCTATGCTTGGTAAAAACAGAAGATGTGGAACTGGAAATTAATGAACCAAAATTGGTGTGTTGAATGTTAGACCTAAATGGTGGGCTAAATAACCAGGGAATGGGCTATTCCACCCACCAATCTCCTGGTGGGTCCTTAAGGAAAGAGACTTTGAGAACAATTGGAAGAACAGACAAAGGCTACCAGAACGAGCGTCACCATCATGAATGCCACCCCCACTGGCTCCTGGGACTCTGGAATTTCTTTGTCCTAAGCCTGAGGGATATCCTGACCAGACTGGGCCAGAGAGAGGGCCCCAGACAACATGGCCACCCCCACTGGCTCCTGGGACTCTGGAATTTCTTTGTCCTAAGCCTGAGGGATATCCTGACCAGACTGGGCCAGAGAGAGGGCCCCAGACAACATGGCCACCCCCACTGGCTCCTGGGACTCTGGAATTTCTTTGTCCTAAGCCTGAGGGATATCCTGACCAGACTGGGCCAGAGAGAGGGCCCCAGACAACATGGCCACCCCCACTGGCTCCTGGGACTCTGGAATTTCTTTGTCCTAAGCCTGAGGGATATCCTGACCAGACTGGGCCAGAGAGAGGGCCCCAGACAACATGGCCACCCCCACTGGCTCCTGGGACTCTGGAATTTCTTTGTCCTAAGCCTGAGGGATATCCTGACCAGACTGGGCCAGAGAGAGGGCCCCAGACAACATGGCCACCCCCACTGGCTCCTGGGACTCTGGAATTTCTTTGTCCTAAGCCTGAGGGATATCCTGACCAGACTGGGCCAGAGAGGGGCCCCAGACAACATGGCCACCCCCACTGGCTCCTGGACTCTGGAATTTCTTTGTCCTAAGCCTGAGGGATATCCTGACCAGACTGGGCCAGAGAGGGGCCCCAGACAACATGGCCACCCCCACTGGCTCCTGGGACTCTGGAATTTCTTTGTCCTAAGCCTGAGGGATATCCTGACCAGACTGGGCCAGAGAGAGGGCCCCAGACAACATGGCCACCCCCACTGGCTCCTGGGACTCTGGAATTTCTTTGTCCTAAGCCTGAGGGATATCCTGACCAGACTGGGCCAGAGAGAGGGCCCCAGACAACATGGCCACCCCTACTGGCTCTGGCTAAATCCTAAACACACCTGGGATGAAATAGGGTCGTACTTGAAAAACAGCAGCAACAACAACTCCAGCCCATCTCAACTCATTTCTTCTCTTTTACCCAAAAGGACAGTTATTACCATCTGTAAAACCATCTCTGAGAGCAGATTGTTCCTGCTAAAACTCTCTCCAGCTAAGGGAAAGGGAACAGGAAATGTTGTTAAAATGAAAGCCTTACTGAACACTTTATACTTCAAACCCTTTCATTGTTTTTCTTTCTTTTTTGCATCTTTGATAAAAGGTTAAAAGGATTTTTAATGGTGTATTTGCCATGGAATTAAACATGAGGTCTCTGTATACCAGACCCAGGACCTTGTTTAACACTGTTTAACGTTGAACAGTGACTTTGTTATGTTAACCCTTTAGCCCATATAGCCTATCTAACTTAACTGGACAGACCTTCATCCAATACTTTCTCCATCAAACCCATAACTTACATTTGAGCTATTGGCTGTTATAAATTGGAAGTGGTCCATTCCACTTTAATGACATTACACTACTTTTCACTAGCTGAGAATATGGCCCTATGTATTTTTCTAATGTAAACTTTTTAAGATGGGAACATAGGGACATAGGCCAGGAAGGGCCTTCCTGGGTCATTGAGTCCAGTCCCTTGCTATCATAGGCAACCCCATCATAGAATCCTGTTCATAAATTTATCAAATTCCACTCCTCCACTCCTGCTATGGGAAGGCTGTGCCATAACCTCACTCCACTGATGGTTAGAAACCTTCTTCTAGTTCCCAGCTTATGTTTATTCATGGTCAGTGTAAATACATAAGGTATATTTTAGCTTCTGGAAAAAATAGACATGAAATATTCCTATTAAACATCCATTGACCTTTTAAAAAAATGTAAAGTGGCCTATATATTAAGCAAAACAGTATATGCATGAGGGATGTGAGTAGAGGGAAGTAGGTCACTATTTTATAGCTTTGCATGCTAGCTGCATTGCAGAAATGGCATGGAGAAAGTGAACAAGAAAGTGTTTTTTACCCCTTTGTATAACACAAGAACCAGGGGTCACTCAATGAAATTAATAAGGATCGGGTTTAAAACAAATATAAAGAAGCACTTCTTCAGACAACACACAGTCAACATGTGGAACTCATTGTCAGGGGATGTTGTGAAGGCCAAAATTATAGGTGGGCTCAAAAAAGAATTAGATAAATTCATTGAGGATAGGTCTATCAAAGCCTATTAGGCAAGGTAGCCACAGACACAACTGTCTGCTCTGGGTGTCCCTAAACTTCTGATTTCCAGCACCTAGGACTAAGTCACAGGGGATGGATCACTTTATAATTGCCCTGTTCTGTTCATTGTCTCTGAAGCATCTGGCACTAGCCGCTGTTGGAAGACAGGATACTGGTAGGGTGACCATGGGTCCTATTTTGGCCAGGACAGTCCTTTTTCAAAGCCCTGTCCGGGCCGTCTCAACAGCTTTGGCGAAGCCGGGCATTTGTCCCATTTGCTCTTGCTAACTGATCATCAACTGGCAAGAGCAAACAGCACAAATGCCCAGTTTTGCCAAAAAAGCACCCCAGCAGGGTGCAGAGGAACTTGAGTGGTAGGCGGGGGGCGATGCCAGCCCCACGTGTGTGTGTGTGTGGGGGGGGCATCTCAGGCCAGCCCTGCATGGGGGCAGGGGTGCTCAGGCCAGGGACTGTTGCCAGCCCTGTGCAGGGGTGATGCAGGGTTCAGGCTAGTTCCGCACTGGGGCGAAGGGGGCCCTTGGGCTAGCCCCAGGTGGTGTCCTCTTTTCCTTTTGGGGAAATATGGTCACCCTAGATATTGGGCTAGATGGACCATTGGTCTGATCCACTTTGGCCGTTCTTATAGGTAACCACATCAAGGCTCTGCATTGTTTAATGTGCATTCTGCTTTAAATGTGTCATGAGTCTAGCACGTGAAGTATCATTTGTGGGGAGATAGTTACAGGACAGGAGCCGACTGTGTTTCCTCTCTGTTTTAACTGGTGCCTTCCCAGGCAGTTACAGTCAGTCAGTTTCAGCAAGTTCTAATGTCACACACACTTGAAGGAAGTTTTCAGTTCCCTGGGGGGTCTCTGCTGTACAAAGAGCAAACACGCGGGAGGGGCCAGGGACTCCAGGAGCAGGCGGCTGGATTCTTGTGGGGACCCCCCTGAAGCTTTTAACAAAATCCAACGCCAGCCTACCAGGGGAGAGGGGCTTCTCCCGCCTTCGGTCTTAAAACCCTTCACTTTCAAAACACTAAGGCCAACTGTAATATGATTCCTGGACCGTATATCCTGTAAGAGGTGGGCATGCACTTGCATTGCACTAATTTCCATTGCAGCTTGGCGAGAGAGGGAGAGCGCGCGGCGCGGAGGCTCAAAGTGGAGAAACTCCTCCAGCAGCCAGTGCCACATCACTATTCTGACCGCACACAGAGGCGCTCCAGCATGCTTCTGAGGCTCCTGCTGTTTCTTGGTGCCCTGGTGAGGGTCACTGAGCCTGCCCCACGCTGTGAACCAGGCCAGGAAACCTTAGGTAAGGCTAAAAACTAACAAGCACCCCTTCATTCCTTTCCCCCAGCTCTGCTTCTGGAGGAAAACAGAAAGGGAGCAAACTTCAGGCTGAGGGAGGGAGAAATGAACAATATTCTCGGCCCCCCCTCCAGATGTGGGGATCGGATTGCTCTTCGGAAGGACACACAAACTTGCAATGCTAGTAACGTGTTTATGGTCTAAGCCTGAATGAGAAGGAAGCCAACTGTGTTGCTTTGTGGTAGAGGAACAAATCTCTGATGGTGGTGGATGTAAAATGTTTCCCCATCAGCATTTTGTAGAGCATGTGTGGCTGTGTCTCTTTGTTGAAGTACTTACAAAGTTACAGTCTATGGGACTAGGCTGACCAGATAGCAAATGTGAAAAATTGGGATCCCTTTTTTTTTCAGGAGGGGGGTACAGTTGCTTATATAAGATAAAGCTCCCAATATTGGGATAGTCCTGATAATATCAGGACGTCTGGCCACCCTACATAGGATCCTCTAACTCCTGCTTTGGGGAACACAGAAGATTCTCCCTCTTTCTGGCCTTTCTTTCTCAGAAAATGAGCCTCAGATTGCTGAAGATGAACTTTTGACCTGGTGTGTGTTTTTGTGCTTATGAAAATCTTCTTCTCACATTTACTTTTTGGTTACTTATTAAGTCCAAAGGAACTTTTATTTAGTCCAAATGAATTTCATTAGGAGCTTAGTGTGCTGGATAGCTGTAGATTTTAGCATGTTATAACCCATACAAAGTTTGGATAGATTGATTTGATAGACACTTTTACACACACTGGAATAAAGGCTAGATTTATATAGGAGCACTTGGTTAAAATGAATTGAAATCTTTTATTTCAGTAACTAAAGTTACACTTAAAACTAACCATTGCTGAAAAACTTTAGTAGCCTTTAAAAAAATGTATACAGCATTTTTTGTTTTGTTTTTTTAAATTAGCTTAATTCTGATTTTATGTACATGGGCATAAATACAGGGTAATTCTAGTGGAACCAAGAGTTACACCAAAGAAAAGCCAAAGGTAAGGGAGAGGAAATTATGTCCAGTAGATTCCAATTTAAAATGGTTTATAAAAGACATTATATTTTGTTTTATAACTGGGAATTTGTCAGGGGAGGAAGGAAGTTAACCTGAAATTGACCTAAATGTTACCCACAGAAGTTCAGCTATAATTTCAGTTTTTAAATATAACCCATAGACTCTATTTTGAGGCTGAAATGGCAGACTACAATTCTTGGGCAATGGTGCATACAATCTGTCAGTGCAGCTTTCACAAACCTCAACGTGAGGTCTACCATAGACTGAAGGGGTTTATTTTTGTATCATGTTGCTCAAAGATAAGTACCACAGAATATTCAGAGCTAGTTATGGGAAGAGACTATATAGGGTACAGTACACAGTTTCTTTAATTGGAGCATAATCAGATCCTACAAAGTCACTTGGAGTTTTGCCATTGACTTCACCATGGGCAAGCACAATACATAAAGATAAAATTCAACTGGCAGCACAGGCTTGCAAAATGCCTTCACTGCAACAGAACTGCCACCTTTCTGAGTAGAAAGGAAAGGTAGTTGTAGTCAGGCTCACAGATAGTGCACACCCTGCATGTGGAGACCTAGGCTATACACCAGCCCTGAGTAGGGCAATGCAGATGGGTGTTAGAAACAGAAAAGGAACTGGCCAGTGGGTCCAAAGTAAGATGGTTTCAGTTCCCCATGGAAGTGAGTGTGAGGGAGTTGCATCTGCCACTGGCAAAGGAGAGGAGCATTATCCTGGAATTCCAGAGATCTGGGTTCCATCCCTGGCTCTGCCTTTGGTCTTATGTGTGACTTTGGGCAAGTCACTTTGCCTCCCTGTGCCTCCATTTCCCCATCTGTAAATTGGGGATAATGATACAGATCTATATAAGAGTATTATTATTATAATCCGGACCAAGAACAAGACAGGGAGTTGAGAGGATGGGATTCCATTCTGGCACACAGCCTGTTTCCCAGAGGGTCATGGATAATGCCCTAATGCCAGTGAAATGGTATATTTCACTGGGAACTGGAATACATCACTTTGTCATTAGTGTCAGGAAAAATAAAAACGAAACAGAGGCAGTCTGCAATCACATGGCTGAAAATACTAAAAGTGGACGATTTCCTCTTAGATTGGACCAGCTCTGCTATTGAGACACTGTAAGCAATAAAGCTTTAGGGAGCAAATTAATGAAGATAATAGGTTTACTAAGAATGGGGTACTCAAAAGTTCTCAGCATTGTCCTAACTCTGCTCCCAATGAAGTAAATGGGAGCTTTAACAGCTCCTTCCATGGGAACAGAGTTAGGGCAATGCTGAACACTTCTGAAAATCCCATCCTAAATGTTTATTTATGAGTGCAGGTGAGCTGTGAGGGGCATACATTTTGCAATTTGCCTATAGCAAATCTCTTTGCTCATCCAAATACCTAGGGCTAGTGCTGAGAATATATACAATATTTAGGTGGATAGGAAGGAGTCTTTGTGTATGTCTATTTGAAGAAAGGTTTCAGAGTAACAGCCGTGTTAGTCTATATTCGCAAAAAGAAAGGGAGTACTTGTGGCACCTTAGAGACTAACCAATTTATCTGAGCATAAGCTTTCGTGAGCTACAGCTCACTTCATCGGACAGAGCTGTAGCTCACGAAAGCTTATGCTCAGATAAACTGGTTAGTCTCTAAGGTGCCACAAGTCCTCCTTTTCTATTTGAAGAAAATGTAACTGCTATCTTCGCAGCTGTCTCTAGTGCCACCTAGTGGTTAAAGGGCAGAATTGTGTTAGATATTGTTACCACAATTTGTGATATAAAATACCTAAAGTTGTTAGGCCCCTAAGCAGGAGATTTCCAAAGGTATAAAGGACATTTAGGCATCCAGATCCCACTAACTTTCAGTGAAAACCTCCCCCACAAATCCATATTCAGGTATCTCCCTATTAACAATATGCCAGACACATCCTACAGATAACCTTGTCCAGCTGGGCTAAGCATAGCGTGATTGCCTGTGCCCGTCACACTCCAGAAAGCTTATAGTTAAATAATAAACTTGGACAGCCATGGCCAATTTGACTTTGCCCCTGAGATCAAAAACACTCTCACCCACACCCGATGACCCTTTGCAGGCCAGAGAAGGCCGGTAAAACCAAATGTTTTTGGAATAATATTTTATCTCTATAAAAATGTTTTCAAAACATGTATTTCTCTATGGACCTAATCAAAAGCCCATGAAAATCATTGCCTTCCATAGGCTTTGGAAAAGGCCCTATCTCTGTGTGTGACTGAATGTACTATAGTACACGTGAATAGTGATTTATCTGCCTTAGATATTTCTAAAACTACTTTTCCCTTGATGTCTATATCTACACACACACACACACACACTCAGATGAAATCATGCCAAAACAAACGCTAATGCAAAACTAACACTAAAGTTATGAACTTAGACATACCTAAGTTAATGGGCCAAATTCTGGTCTTGGTTACACATGTTCAAATTTGGAGGTTTTTCATTGATTCATTTGAGTTATGCTGGATTTATACCACTATAACTAGGAGGAGAATTTGGCCCAATAGTTCCCCATCAGTATTAACCTAGCCACAGTAGACATCTGTCAAGGTTCCTCCCCCACTCTGAACTCTAGGGTACAGATGTGGGGACCTGCATGAAAAACCTCCTAAGCTTATCTTTACCAGCTTAGGTCAAAACTTCCCCAAGGTACAAAATATTACACCCGTTATCCTTGGAATGGCCGCTACCACCACCAAACAATTACTGGTTACTGGGGAAGAGCTGTTTGGACGCGTCTGTCCCCCCAAAATACTTCCCAAAACCTTGCACCCCACTTCCTGGACAAGGTTTGGTAAAAAGCCTCACCAATTTGCCTAGGTGACTACAGACCCAGACCCTTGGATCTTAAGAACAATGAACAATCCTCCCAACACTTGCACCCCCCCTTTCCTGGGAAATGTTGGATAAAAAGCCTCACCAATTTGCATAGGTGACCATAGACCCAAACCCTTGGATCTAGGAACAATGAAAAAGCAGTCAGTTTTTTACAAGAAGACTTTTAATAAAAAATAGAAGTAAATAGAAATAAAGAAATCCCCCCTGTAAAATCAGGATGGTAGATATCTTACAGGGTAATTAGATTCAAAAACATAGAGAACCCCTCTAGGCAAAAGCTTAAGTTACAAAAAAGATACACAGACAGAAATAGTTATTCTATTCAGCACAATGCTTTTCTCAGCCATTTAAAGAAATCATAATCTAACACATACCTAGCTAGATTACTTACTAAAAGTTCTAAGACTCCATTCCTGGTCTGTCTCTGGCAAGAGCAGCATACAGATAGACACAGACCCTCTGTTTCTCTCCCTCCTCCCAGCTTTTGAAAGTATCTTGTCTCCTCATTGGTCATTTTGGTCAGGTGCCAGCGAGGTTACCTTTAGCTTCTTAACCCTTTACAGGTGAGAGGAGCTTTCCCCTGGCCAGGAGGGATTTCAAAGGGGTTTACCCTTCCCTTTATATTTATGACACGCCCCCCAAATCTCAGCTAGGGTGGAACACTGGCTGGGATTTCTTCCTGGAGCTCTAGGAAAAACAGAGTTAATAAGACACATGCATCTCTAAATATACTACCAAGTACATAAAGACTAACAATATTTTCCACATCTCAAGGACGATTTTAACCAGTTGATTCTGGGAAACTTTCACGGGAGAGTGCATCAGCCACTTTGTTCGAAGCTCCTGAGATGTGTTGGATGTCGAAATCAAAATCTTGGAGAGCTAAACTCCACCGAAGAAGTTTTTTGTTAGTTTCCTTGACGGTGTGAAGCCACTTCAGTGCAGCATGGTCGGTTTGCAGGTGGAAACGCCGTCCCCAAACATATGGGCGTAGCTTTTCCAGAGCGTAGACAATGGCGTAACATTCTTTTTCAGTGACTGACCAGTTGCTTTCCCTCTCAGACA